GAAATTGTGCAACATCATGGATATACTAAGTGCCAATAAATTTTATACCTTCCAATGGTTGTTTTTATGCTCAACTCATTAATTTTAAAAGTACATTGGAATCTGCATTCTGGGCCCAATTTGTTTTACAAGCTTTAGTCTAGAGAATGATGTAAAATACATATTATTCCCCAACCAAATATAAACCGACACGTACATGCAGGTGACAAAGTATATTGTGTCCCAATTCTGTGTGTTTGGGTGTCCCTAGACTTTAAAACATTAAATGAAAAAAAAACATTTAGATATAATCAGCCCATTGGTCCCACCTCAGGCTAATAACACATGGCTTTGTCCAAGGATCCTAGGTGTAGCCTTCTGTTCCTCAGAGATAACAATGGACAATGTAATCTCTCTGTCACTATGCCTGAGGATATCTTTTCAATAATTTCCTGTTCCCATCATTTATGCAGAATGGAGATGGATGAGGGTTAAGGTGGGGAGCACCCTCCTCAAATGGTCTAAAATGGGCAGTCATAGAGAAAAGCTGCATTTCAGGTCCTTCCAAGTACAGTAATATCCCCTTCTCCATGGTTTCAATTTGTACTGTTTCAGATATAGGCAGTCATCCAAGATCTGAAAATACTAAGTGGAAAAAAAATTCAAAACTAAACAATCCATAAATTTTAGAATCAATGTACATCATACATCTCACACGATCCTGCTTCAATCTGCCTAGGATAGGACATGAATCATCCATCTGTCAATCTATCCATACTGTGTGCCTTTATACATCTTCAATTCGCCCCATTATTAACTTAATAATCCTCTAATTTGTCAGATGTATTTCGAGGCATTAGAGTGATTATGCTCAAGGAAACTCATTTTCTTCAATAACAGCACCAACACAAAAGAGTTGTGATGCTGGCGATTCAGGTTATACCAAAAGGGAATCCTAAGGTGCTTTCTTTAATTAAAATGGTAAAAATTGAGTAAGATATTTAGGGAGAGTTGACAATGTCTATATAAATTTTATTATAGTATGTTGTTATGATTATTACATTTCTTGATAAGTTCATATTGTTAATTTCACTGTGCCTAATTTATTAATTAAACTTTATAATAAGCATATATATGTCAGAAAAAAATAGAGTTGAGTACAATTAGCAGTTTCAGGCATCCACTAGGTGTTTTGGAAAGGATATCCCGCTGACCAGTGAAGGACACTGTAATAGTTCTTGGCTTGCAGGTCACTGTTCTCTGTCCTCCTTCTCTGCCAACTTCTGAAAAAATTCATGGTGGATAAATGAGCACAATTATGAACTACTTAAGAGACCACATTAACTGCAATTGGTGCTTAGCTAAAGTCAAGAAAGAAGGCTATTAGGTAGTGAAGATATCGCCTCTTTCTTAGGGGCAAGGGATTAGTGTGTAGGGAAGAATATTCTTCCTCCACAGTCCTCTACTGTGCATGTCAGATCTGATTGATCTTTCCCTAAGGTACAGGGAACACTGTAGGCCTGCTTATGTAGTCATCAGCCAACAGCTCCTGTTGGGCAGCCTGATGCTCAGTGTTTCTTGTGATAAACCAACTACTCACTTCCATCCATGAGAAATTCATGATAGCTTCTACCCAGATATAAGCAGAGAAATCTCAAAGCTCAGGGTGCTGGAGGTCAGTTATGGGGAAGGCCATAATTTGCATAGGAGGCCCCTGGGAAGCTCAGATGCTGCTCTGGAACCTTAGGAAACAAGTCTCTGCAGGAATCTCCACCATGGCCAGGGGCTTTCTTCTCCTCATCCTCCTACCTCTGCTCAGGTAACTATCTGTGGAAAGCAGAAAAGATTATGCAGGCACATGGAGCTTCTTTTCTCTTTTATGTTTGAAATATATGGGATATGACCCTAGACTCACTTGTAGTTGTTCCCACCTCCTCTGTTCAATGGTCCTGATCTGACTCAGGAAGCTTCAATGTCAGTGTCTATGGAACAGAGGGTCGCCCTCTTCTGCATTGGAAACAGCAACAGTGTTGGAAGCTCTACTGTGGGATGGTACCAAGACTTCTGATGCTGCAGCAAAAGTGTGATGATTGGAAGGTCTCAGCCCTCAGGGATCCCCAATTATTTTACCAGCTTTAATTGTGGCAACATAGAGTTTCTAAGCATCTCAGGCCTTCAGTCTGAAGACCTGGCTCATTACTATTGTTCAACATAGGACAGAAACATCAAGGCTCCCACAGTAATCCATAATCATGGGGAAGTGTTATAAAAACATGTCTTAGGTCTAATGTGAGACTGACCATCCCACAACTGATTATAACAAACCAAAGGAGATACTCATGGGCCCTGCAATGTCCATGTCTGGAGTTCTGACTCTCAGATTACAGAGGAGAGGCAATGCCATTAATTTACTCCCATATAATTTTAGAAATATTTTCATTGATTTATAATTTATATACAATAAAGTGTAACTGTATAAAATGTTCAATTAAATGTCATTAATTTCCAAATTGGAAATCATGCCAAATGTTACTATGAACATTTTCTGTGGACACATATTTTTATTTTTCATGGTAGATAATTTTTAAAGAAATTTCTGGGCCTCATGGTAACGTGATTTGAGAAATGTTAAACTACTTTCCAAAGTTACTGCTCTAGTCACTATTTCTCAGAGCAATATATAATTTGGAAAATACTTCACATTTTTTTTTTGGTATTGGGGATTGAACTCAGGAGCCCTTAATCACTCAGCTACATTTCAAGATCTTTCTTTTTTTTTTTTTTCATTTTATTTAGAAACAGAGTCTCACTTGGTTTTCTAGGACCTTTTTTAAGTTGCTGAGGCTGGCTTGAACTCATGATCCTCCTACCTCAGCCTCCCAAGTCACTGGTATTACAGGCATGTTCCACTGTACCCAGCTAATACTTTACATTCTTAATAACTCTTATTCTCTATATTTTGTAATAGTTTTCATTCTAGTGGGTAGTGAGATGGTATGTGCTATTATTTTTATTTTTATTTTCTTATTGGAATTTATTTCAACATAATCAATTAATCAGAAAATGTATGTTATCCAAACTCTTTACTAACACTTTCATAAATATAAAAAATACATTCTACAATGTACACAATTCCTCTTCTCACAGAAATAAATATAATTACTTGATTTTTAATGCTGTCTATATTTAATTACAAATTATGATGGAGTTGAAAAGTACCAACTTACCATGAGGTAAGGTCCATTCCTAAGTATGGACGTTTCTAGGTCGTAGAATGGCACTTGTTATGTATATTGAGATCCAGATGTCAAAATTATGAAAAATATTGAATGTCTCTAGCAAATAGAGAAACACAAATTGAAACTAAACTGAGATTCCATCTCACTCCAGTCAGAATGGCAATTATCAAAAATACAAGAAACAGTAAATGTTGGTGAGAATGTTGGGGAAAGGTACACTCAAAATTGCTGATGGGTTTGCAACTCAGTACAACCATTGAGGAAAGCAGTATGGAGATTCCTCAGAAAACTTGAAGTAGAACCACAATTTGACCCAGCTATTCCATTCCTTGGTTGTACTCAAAAGATTGAAAAGAGCCCACTACAGGGACACAGCCACATCAATGTACATCAATGTATATAGCAGTTTAACGCACAGTATCTACACTATACAACCAGTCTGGGTGCCCTTCAACAGATAAATGGATAAAGACAATGTGGTACATACACACAATGAAATATTACTAAGCCACAAAGAGGAAAAAAATTATGACATTTGCTGGTAAATAGATAAAACTGGAGACTATTATGCTATGTGAAATAAGCCAATCCCCAAAAAACAAAGGCTGAATGTTCTCTCTGATATGTGCATGCTAACTCATAAGTTATATAATAAGGGCATGGGTATAGGGAAGAATAGAAGTACTTTGGATTAGTCAATGGTAATGAATGGAAGGAAGAGGGAAAGGGAATAGGAAACATAGTGGAATGAATCAGACATTATATTTCTATTTACATATATGAATACATTACCAATGGAATTATACATTGTGTGTAACATATAAAATGAGATGTTATACTCTATGTATGTAAAATATGTCAAAATACATTCTACTTTCATCTATAATAAACAAGAACAAATAAAAATAAAAGAAATGAAAACATTTTAGAAAATTCAGAATATAATTCACTTCCTCAGCTGGAACCATGAGACCTTTGTAAAATACACCAAATCATATTGAAGAAATATGAACAAAGATTCATGCCCAGCCCACATGCATCCTTGCCAATGCCTAGGAGAAATTCATTTTCATAAACAAAACATTCATAAGTCCTGCAATCTGAGTTCTCTCAGGGTCTTCAGTCCTATGGCATTCCATGTAGCCAGTGGTGACTAAAGTGCTATATGGTTGTGACTGAATCATAGTCACAACCCTCAGTCTCACTTGCTGAAAATAAAGGTTACAAATATGTGAACTGAGAAAGCTTGAAAACATGCACACGTGTATCATCTGAATGGCAACACGTAAGATTTTGCAACTGAGTTCCTTGACAAGTCCTATGTGAAAGGACCTCTGAAACAAATTTTTTTGTGTTGTGGATAAACTAAATGGTATCCTGCAAGCTAATAAAACCAGAAACTTTATGTTCACCTGCTTAATCCTGACCTGAGAAGAACTGATATCAAAAAAATTATTTTAGTCCTGAAAACAGTGGGGTGTCAAGAGAACTATGCATGAATTCACCACAAGGGGTCTAAGGAAAGTAAGAAGACCATTCTGAGGTAATGGAGAAACCTCAGAAGAGGTTCCCTGGACTGGCCCATAGACAGAATGAGAGGGGATGTGGTGAGGATGTAGGACTGTCTCGGAAGGTCTGATCACAATGTCACATAATGATGTGTATGAGCTTGGACAACAGGGGGCACTGCAGACCAATTAATAGAGGTAAGGAAGTAACCAAAATTGTAATAAGCCACTTGGCCCTGCCTGATATTCTGTTGTTAGGGGTCACAGGTGTGACTTTACACACCTCTGAGACAACCCAACTGCAACCCTGCACACCAAATTGGCATCTTTATGTACAGGAATCTGAACTAGGGCCCAGGGTGCAATCAGAAAACGTGGAGGAACGTAATTTGCATAGATAGATCCTCCCCTTCTCAGACTATGAATAAGGCAAGAGAGAAAGTTGGGGGAACCTCTGCTCAGCATCAGGAACAGAAGGCACAGCTCAGGATAACTTTCATCATGGCTTGGTCCTGTCTGCTCTTCACATTCCTCATTCAGTGCACAGGTGACATGATATGAAGGAGGGATAGGGTGTGTGAGTACACTGATATGGGCCCTGATTCTACTCTTGTTTCTAGACAAAAATCACCCTCCCTGTGTCTCTCTCATTCCAGGGTCCTGGGCCCAGTCTGTGCTGACTCAGCAGCCCTCACTATCTGGGAATCCAGGTCAAAGGGTCACCATCTCCTGCACTTGAAGCAGCAACAATATTGGTGGTAATTATGTGCACTGGTACCAACAGCTCCAAGAAAAGGCTCCCCAACTCCTCATCTATGATAATAGTGATCGACCCTCTGGGGTCCCAGATCGCTTCTCTGGCTCCAAGTCTGGCAACTCTGCTTCACTGACCATCACTGGGCTCCAGCCTGAGGATGAGGCTGTCTATCATTGTCAGTCTTATGATGACAGTCTCAATGCTCCCACAGTGCTCCAGGATTATGGGGAAGTAAGACAAAAACCCCTTTACCATATGTCATGAGGGCAAACACCCGGCAGCTTTGCTCAGGTCTACTCTCTGGCAGCTTCTGCTACCACTACTATAGGCCCAGCTGAACCTACTGGCACTTCTTTGAGTGAGAAGCCTCTTGTCCTCTGCCCTCAGAGTCATTCACAGAAGCATATTCCTAGGAAATGTCTCCATATAAAAAGAAATTCCTAATCCTTGTTAGCTTGAGGAGCTAAACATTCAGGATGCTTTTGCCTCTTTACCCTGAAGTTCAAGTGGTGAGGCAGCCAGTGCAACCCTGGTCATCCCAGACTTGACATCTGATGGTGAATCCTGTGGTTTCATCCTCCATTCTTCCCTATTTTCAGGAATTCTAGAACTATGTCATTTGTGTCTGTGATTCATGTCATATTCTAATTTTATATAAGTTTTCTAACATGAAATATTTGGAAAACAATAAAACACACATAAGCGAAAACTTTGACAGATTTTGTGATATTTTCACACCTTCGGGAACATCATCACATCAGGCCAAAGAATTCATGCCCCTCCCCACAAACATCCTTTGCCCTTTGGAAATCCTCTCTCCATCGCTGCTCAAAGAACCTCCCAGGCAACCACTGACTTTCTCTCTGTTAATATTGATCATGTTTCTTTTTATATTCCAAAACACACAGCAGATGTTTCTTCTTGTATGACTTCTTCTACTTTATAAATTCCTTTTAAGACACTTTCACATTATGTTTCATTTCCCTTGATTCAACTGAGGACAAATCATGACCTTTGTGAACTGTGTTTATTTCTGTGTTGATGGATACTTTTCTCTGATCACATGTATATTTACATTTTTTTATAACTTTATCACTATGAATGGCAATAAAATACAGCCTTTGTTGTACTCATTGTATTATTAGCATTCTAAGATATTTTCTTTAAAAATGGATGGAAAACTTTCAGAAATCCTAGTCATTTATTATCCGTTCACTGTTCAATGGGCTCAACATCTCCTTATGGGGGTTTTGGGCATGATTAACCAGGCCCTTTTCCTCCTCACTTTGGAGAACAACTCTCCTAATTCAGAGCTTGTGGTGGGACTGAGATAAAAGGCAAGAGAATTGATATGCATGACTCCCAGAGAATTACTTGGAAGCAGAAGACCATTGGGAGGGCAGGGCTCCTACCCTATGTGCTCAGGTCAGAGTTTTGGGGGTGATTCTTACATTGTCATGACCTCTGCAAGGGCCTTTGGAACTGCATCACATTTCCTGGAGCTTATGTGATGACAAGAATAATCCTAAGAAAACTGTGGTATCTCCATGTGCTGATTACAACAGCTGACACATCAGAGAGGCTCAGGACAGGGACAGGTGATAAAAGTATGCATTTTCAGCTGTGTCTAGGACTGTGGCACATCCATGAGGAAAAATGGTAAAAGCCATTTTGGTAGAATTTTGCCTGTGGAACCTCCAAATAATGTTTCTGAATTCCAGTGAGTGAAATAAGAAATGAGTGACTTTCATGTTTCCCTCTTAATCTCATGTCAGCTGAGATTCCCAGTGGTATAGCCACTGTCTGGCAGACACCTCATCCTCCAAGTAGATGTGCTAAAACATCTAAAGTGAATGGCAAAGATGGCAAGCTCTGGATCTGAGATAATTTTGCTTAGATCCATTTAGGGAAACAAATAGATTTGGGTTGTTGCAGCTAAGAGACAAAAAGTTTTAAAAATCCAGGTGGTCTGAGTGCCACCAGGTTTTCTCTGTGGTTGTGCCTTCTCTCACCTTAAATCCACTGAAAGGAACTCAAGGGACATACTTGGGAGCACAGATTGTCCCTTGCAGATCCATGGCAAAATCGTCAGATGTTTGAACAATCCAAAAAATAAAAAGAGCTGTCACCATGAGGTAGACAGATGGGGAGTGGAACTGGCTGCATTTAGGGCTTGCTTTGTATGAGAAACAGCTCAGGAAAAGGTCAAGTGAGTGTTTTTCCCCCTATGGACATAAGGTAAATTTTGGGGAAGACAGATAGCCAGGAAAAGCTTGACTACTGCTCATGAGAACCAGAGAAGGTACCTTGGGAGAATGCAACAGTAGGTCTATTTATTTTATTATTATTTTTATTTTTTTGTAGTTGTAGATGGACAGAATGCATTTATTTTATTTATTTTTATGTGGTGCTGAGGATTTAGTCCAGTCCTCACACATACTAGGCAAGTACTCTGCCACTGAGCTATAGCCCCAGCACCAGCCCCAGTAGGTTTATTTGTATGAATACACGGAAAGCTGCTCTGGGTGATCTACTGGTTATGATTCAGTTCTCTCACTATCATGGCCCAAGTTTGATTTCTGTTCAGGGAAGACTTTCTTTTGCCCGCTGGGGTGGTACATACCCCAAATCCCAGATATTCAGGAGGGTGAGACAGTAGGATAACAAGTTAGAGATAAGCTTCAACAACTGAGGGACAACCTATCTAAAAGATAATCAGCAAAAATACCACAAAGAAGTCATTCATCCTAATACTCAACTTGGGACATTGAAGGTGTTTCTGATCTTCAATGGTTATGAACATTGCTTGGTGAGCAACTTAAAAAGTGTCCTGGAATTGGGGGGACATAGAACTCTGCATCAGATATGTGTCATGGTTTCCAAATTTTCTTTTCACTACCAGACATAATTCTCTGTCTCCTTGAAAGATGACAGGGCTTAGGGTCTACTTCTTCCAATAAAGTAGAATCAGAGGAAGCCTGTACAACATCCAGACAATAGCATAATAGGTTGAAGAGCTACTGCCTTTCTTCTCCCTTGCATGTTTTCTTCTGCATGCTGACAAGAATTATCCCGCCGAGTGATCCTGTATTGAGTTAGTAACAGAATGCAAATGAACACATGGTGAATAACCATTCATCACATGCAGTACAAAAGATGTGTGAACAATAATTTTTCCATATTATTTCACATCATAGAGTTGCAATTTTGTTCATCCAGAATGACAAAGACTATCTGGTCTAATAACAAAGTAAAATTGCTAACTCTACGCATCTCAATGCTAATTGAGAATGTGTCTTCAGTGGTTGTCTGATTCAGTATAAAACTCCACTTGCTCCACAGCAGGTAGATCATCAAGAGTGATTTTAGGAGAGGGAGATGCAAGCAAACAACTGGAAAACTGTTCATCCTGATCATCAGTGTGGGAAACAGTATTCTAACTTATATGAATCTCTTCTCAGAATGTCACTCACATTAACCACTGGAGCTTAGGAACATTTTTATCAATTAAACAGATTTATTGGCAGGGTAGATTACATGTTAGGACACAAAACAAGTCTTAAGAAATTGAAGAGGAGAGAGTTATTTTAATCTTATTCTAAGAAGCCAGTTGTTCTCTCCTGTAGATTCACTGACATTGATAACTCTCCTGTAAACACTGTGTGCTATCATGCATACAGCATTGTCAATCAGGAAGACCCTATAAGCTGGGAGTGGTGGTGTACACCTGTAATTCCAGCAGCTTGGGATGCTGAAGCCGGTTGATCACAAGTTTAAAACCAGCCTCAGAAACTCAGCAAAATCCTAAGAAACTTAGCAAGATAATCTCTCTAAAACAAAAATAGGGGCTGGGTATGTGGCTCAGTGATTAAGACACTCTGTGTTCAATCCCTGATAATAATAATAATAATAATAAGAAGAAGAAGAAGAAGAAGAAGAAGAAGAAGAAGAAGAAGAAGAAGAAGAAGAAGAAGAAGAAGAAATAAAATTCCTCCCAAGTTTGCTGTATTTTTAATAATGTGGTCATGTAGGTCTGCTTGACCATCTACAATACTGACTTTATCTCCACTGAAGTAGTTTAAAAAAAAAGAAAATGGAAAGAAAAGAAAATTAAGCCTCTAACATGGAAAATGTTCTTGCTTCTTTGTTTGTCATGCTCTAGAATGAATTACTAAAACAATTTTCAACTTAAGCCTTCTCTTTATTCAGTGAGAAGCTCATAATCAATAACCTTATCAGCAAGTTGGTCATGAAAACAATTGCTTTACTCATTCAAAACACTGATGAGTGAGGTCCCTTCTTTATTATTTTTTCTCTTGATAGCTTCCATTTATGAAGTAAAATACTGAATCCTTGAAGAGAGAAATGTTGAATATATCCAGGAGAGGGAGGACACCAAGGGATGGGCAGGTACTGTGGAATGACATCAAACAAATGATGCCATTTGCAAGTACCAATATATCACAATGAATTCCAATTTCATTAATAATTCCAGTGAACCAATTAATAAAAAATGAGACCAGTTGAGTATAGAAAGAGGTTTAGGAGAGAGTGTCAGGTAGGAAAAGGGAGAATACTGGGGAACAGAATTGATTAAATTATGTTTCCTCCATGTATGACTATGGGTACAGTTAATCCCACTATTAACATACAATCATAATAAACAAGTGAAGCATTTTACAAAATAAATTCAAATATGTTGTGATTTTAAAAATTCAGGTAAGTTTAAGACTGTGGAACACTAAAATTGATTTGCCCACAATTTCAATAAACAAACAAACAAAACAGATAAATAGATATAAACAGGAATGCTCAAATAAAACTCAAATAATGAATGTGAGACAGTCTTGGAATTACAGTGGCAATTTCATACAAACTATTCAGCTGGTCTTTATCAAAAGAGACCCTATACTCTTAGACCAAAAGGCCTCCAGTGGGCACTGTGGATATTCATAGAACATTGGTAGAAACTCAAGTGGTTCAGCTTTATTGGATCATGAACAGTTGCTCAGTGGACCATGCACAGTTCTAGAGCAGCT